TATGTCTTAATTCGTACTTTGTACTGAATTGTACCATTCTGGCTGATCTTTGATAAACCGGAACTGGCGCTGAGTTTCCTGCCCAGCTGCGGCAGCAAGAGGCGCTCGTTTGTCTGTCTGTCCGTCTGTCGGCAACGGTTGGGTCTCCCGGTCCTATCCTGGACTCTGAGTTCCCCTGGAGGGCGTCGTCTCCCCAAAAGCCCCCCCCCCCGCGCTGATCTCCCTGGCGCTAGCAGGTCACCTGCTCCGCCCCCTCCCTCTAGCTGCTCCAGACCTGACTTGCTGAGCCCCCGCGGAGGGGTCCAGGGACCCACCGTTCCGCACCCGACCGTAAGGCCACCTCTCGCTCTCGCGCTCGCCACGTAACGGGAAGGCTTCCCACACACCGCTCCTCACCAGTCAGTCCTCCTCACCTCCAGCTCCACAAAGTCGCCCAGTCCTTCCACATGATCCACGTGGACGCGGGTCTGGCCCACCATGTAGAGATGGCGCTCCTTCTTCACCACTCCTTGCTCTCCGAGCGCCTGGGACAGCACTGCCTGTGCGCGAAGAAAGCCATGAGCTTAAGGCCTGCAGCACCCACCGTGGCATTACGCCAATTTACCACCTACCGCTCAAGCAGTGGAACGCATCCCAGATCGCAGCCCAGAATCCCATCCTAAGAGATCTCAAGGCCTTTCTCTCTCCTCCCCTGGATACGGGGCCCACGGGATCACCCAGGAGTGGAGCAGCTACAGCGGGGGAGATGAAGAAGAGGCTGTGGGCCTCTCAAGGCCAGTCCCTGCAGCACAAGAGCAGGGGAGGACCGCCGATACCCCTCAGCTGCTGGAGCATGGACGGCCCCCGTGGGAAATGGGAGAGACCAGATGAGGTGGACCCTGCCTGGACTGATCTACCTTCCAAAGACCCTCTAACTCTGTACGGGGTTACTCTCTGGTCCTGCCTTCCTTTCAAAAACTGCAAGGCGGCATCCATGGGGGGTTCCCAGGCCCAGAGCTGCCGAGCCTCAGCCGCATGGAACGGACTCTGCCCAATCTGTTTTGGTGTTGAATGCGGGGCACTGCCTGACCTGGAAAAATACCCAAACCATTCACTGGATCCTGGGAGCAGGGCTGGTTTCTGTTCCCTTCCGGAATGGCTGTTCCGTGGCTCCAAACGCCTTGGGGTCCACCACACCAGCCCCCTATTGCTATTCCCACAACAGGCCGCGCTTCCCAGTCCACGAAGCATTACCGCAAGTCCTCTGGGGTCATCTGTGGGAGAGATGGTAAAGTGAGAGAGCTTGGGGCCTCTGGAGTTCGGCCGGTCATAAAACACCAGCTGTCCACGGCCATCCTGCAAAGGAAACATCGGTCAACAGCCCGCCTTGCCTGGTGAAAGACTCAGGATCAGGCCAAACAGGTCTGCAAATTAATCTCATTTTATTAAAACTGGCTCCCCAGGCTGTAGTTCAAGGAGGGGCTGGAGTTTTGACAGAAGCCTTCTGCAATCTGTTGCTATCGAGGCAGCACTCGCTCACAAAATCCCAGCCAGAATGTCCTAAGGCTATGCTGCCTGAGAATGATAGGCATTGTAGTCCAACACACCAGGGGAAATCTGCCTGTAGTCTTTCTCAGTTTGCACCTGTCTTGCCCATACTGCAAATGCGAAAGGGTTCCACCCTCAAGGCCACCTGCCGGAAGCACAGCTAGCCGTCCTGAAGGCACAGCTTGGGTACAGCACACGCCCGACTCCTGAGTTACAGCTGTTGGGGCTCCTTGGAGGTCTCTTAGAGCTGCTTGCCTGCTTAATCCCCAGCATGAGGATCCCAGCATGCCGAACGGGGAAGGTCCTGCAAAGTTTAAATGAACCTGCTGGCTTAACTTGTTTATAATTGAAAGTTCATGGACAGAACAGCCAAAAGGGGGATGGGGGGAAGCCACTTTGTGAGTAACATACCAAGAGTTGTGACATTTCAACTTCATTATTTTCAAGAGCTTACTACAATATAGTTGACAATGTTCACATAAAATGAAAAATTCTGATTTGGAAGCTGGAGTACTAACACCAACTAAAAACATTTCCAAATCCCACAAAATTGTGTCTTTAGCAAAACAGCGAGCAACATTATCCCCACGGTGAGTTGGAGTTACATGCAGTTGGCCCCGACTGGCCGGGTGGTGTTCTCAGCTCTGGAAAAGCTTTCGCGCATCCAGCCAGACACCCCCCTTGAGCCCGCCGAAGCTAAGGGATGCAGCTCTGCCTAGTTCAGGCAGATCTTCGCAACGTGGAGCCTTCCGGATATGTTGGGAAAGTCATCGCTGTCGGCCAGCAGACCGGAGAAAGGCCTTTGATCTGAAGCCCCACCAACCTGTTTCTTTCCAGAACTCTTATCCTGGGGCTCAAAGGCAGGACAGGCTGAACTGGTCACACTCGTTTCTGGCAGAGGAGAGAGTGCGCGGGCGTGCAAACTCCAGCTTCTTCTAGCGCACGCCTGACCGGGTCCTCGACTTTGACCATAACACAGCCAAGGAGGTAACGCACGCTTAGACTGACAGCCTGGCGACTGCCTCTCTGCCCACAAGACCTTGAACTTCTGTCCTCCAGAGCAGAGGCTGGTTGTCTACTCAGATTCCGTCTTCTCGCAGAATAGTGCGGCCCACCCGCACTAACCAATAGGGATCCTGTAGAGTGTCCCTCCCCCAGAAACTGGTAATTGTCTTCTAAGACGATTGGTAGAAATGTGGATTGAAAACTGAGGAAGAACTATTCTTTCAAGAACCTCGAGGCTGGGCAGATCAAACAGGGAGCTCAGGGGAGGAGCTGTTCTAAACTCAGGGCAAACCAAGTGTGTGTTCCCAGACAGGCAAAAAGAGGAGAGTTTGGCGACCTTGCAAGAACCGGCAGGAAAGAGAGGGGAGGGTCAGAAAGACCGAACACATAGCAAAGGGTCACTAGGACCACCACTTCTTCTAACGCTGAAGGAAAATTCTAACATTGGGTCACTACAATTACCACATTCCGGAACACTAGATCTCAGCACTGGGATTCAAGCCTGGGATCAGCCTAATTTTTTATACACGAGCGCTACCAAAATCATTAGATTTAAGCATAGAGGAGCACTCCTTAGCAGTGCCAGCAGCGGCAGTAAAATCAGAGATAAACGTGACTGCTTAGGAGACCTGCTTAAGCAGAAACTGAATTTTGGCGGTAACGCAGTTTTGCCTGCTCTGAAAAATTAAAGAGGGCAGAGACAGCACGTTGGGAAGACTCTCCCTCATCATCAGAAGGGGGGTCCGTTCCACCAGGCTGTGTGGAAAAAGAGCACCCGAAATAGGAAAGGCACCTTAATGCACCAGGTAGGGGCGGAAGGGCTGGGGATAACGCGAAACTTTTCTGGATGCGTAATAATGATCCTTAGCAGACATTTAACACGCTTCTAACTACGTTCTCAGACATCTGATTGGGAACCAGAGTCAGGGACTCACAAAGGTCAGGGACTCACACAGGCCAACTTTAAAACCAGAGGCTCCCTTGAGGAGGCAAAACGGGGAGCCAACGGAGCCCCGCGTCCCTCTCGGCTGGCTGGCTGGCTGGCTGGCATACTCACTCTCAAGTCGCGAAGCTTCAGCCGTCCGCGGGGAACAGGAAAGAAGGTGTCTGTCTGAAGCAGGACCTGGGCAGGGGACCCGCTCAGCTGCTCCACCCTGCTGATCAGCTGGGCCAGATCCTGCACCCGGGCCTTGATCTCCACGTTTGCTGGCATCTGGAAGACAGCCCGAGATCCCTGGATCGGCGCCAGGGCTTTTTAGGAAACCCCTCCGCCTCCAAGGAGCTCAAGGGCAGCCCTACTTGTGGCACGGGTGGAACGGACTCCCAGGGAAACCCGGCACCCGTGCCCACCCTGCTCTGCGCCTGGAAGAGCAGCGGGCAGGCAAAGGGGGCAGGGCTGCCTTCTGAGCCACGCGTGGGGGGCGGCGGGGAGCGCCCACAAGAGCCCCGGGGGTGGCCCTGATGGGGGAGACGGCGAGGCAGGCTGCGCTGGGGAAGG